CTCAAAAGCTTGTGGCTACGAAATCACAAGACGAAGAGAGACTAGAGTTTGAGCCGAAAGTCGGAATATAGAGAACATGCGTATTTTTTCCTTCAAAACTGGAATTTCCACTGCATTGGGTGTTCATTCGGGTATCTAAACATGGACATTGCATAACCAGTTTTGGGAATTAGCAGAGTTTGAGGTACAAGATTTTGTTCAATTATTTGTCGCAATTCCTAAAAGATTCAATTTGTTTCTTAGTATTAGAACAAAGGATAAAATTACTTTGTCACGATAATTTGACAGAAAGCTTGACATAATTATATGTAACAGTAGATGATTGGATGAACAAGTTCACTGCGTTCTAAATTATCCAATGATAAAATGTTATGAGACATTATGCCCCTGTTTGGTTATCATTCCTTTTTATTAAAATAAAAAATATGATCGTTATCCATCACATCGGGTCACCAAATTTGAATTTCTATATCTTGTGTGGGGCCCATAACAACTATATTTTTCATTTTCATTCTTCCAAAAATGAGAAACAAACGATGGCTATGTCAACATTGATGCTAGTGTGATATGATTGTAGTACAAAAAAGTCAAGTAGATTATCAAAATAGTTTTTTTATTTTTTATTTTATTTATTTATTTTTTTTTTTTTTGGTGTGATTGATGATATTTAGTATCGATATTCAAATATTTCATAATATCATGATAATATTGAGTTTCTATAGGGCTTACAATAACAAGAAGTTAAGCCCGCTTCAATTTATTGTTGATCGCGTGAATTTTGTCTGTTAGCGTTAATTGTACTTGCGGCAACAAACTTTGACCACAAATGCAAGTAATCCCTAAAATCGGGTTGAACCCCAACCTTAAGGGCCCCCACCGACCCTGCCCTGAGCCATCGTGGAGGAGGTAAATCGCAGGATGTGCCTCCCAGGAGCCAGGGTGGAGAGCATATGGATAGGCCAAGGCTGTTAACCCATATGGTAACTCCCGCTTGCAACAAAGTCAATTCCACCTTGCGGGGAATCGAACTCTGCACACTGCCGCGCTGAGCCCTATCCGCCCTCCCCTTTGCCACTGGGAGATATGCCCTGGGGGCGCAAGTAATCCCTAAAATCTGTTCTATTCAAGGTTGAGAATTTGTAATATGGGTTAATAATCTAAATGGTCACTGAACTTTGCAAAAAAAAATTCAGCGGGTCACTAAACTTTAAAAATCACACAAATCATAAATGAACTTTGCAAAAACTTTTTCGAGATGACTTGAGTGATTTTTAAAATTCAGTAATCCGATGAAAACTTTTGTAAAGTTCAATGACCATTTGAGTTATTAACTCTCTATAATATTCTCGTGCAGCCAATGTGTCATTATCGCCCCCATCCCAAGAGAATTCACAAGGAGAAAATCGTACGTTATATTGATACATTTTGATCAGGTTAGTTGAAATTCAAGAACGTTCGATCAATTATACGAGCTCTAGTCATCTCGTACTTGGTTGAGTAGTATTTGTTTGCCGTATTTGGCAGTTCTTAACAACAATTTAAAGATTCCTTGATTGGAAATATTTTTACCATCTTTGGTGTCATGAAGAATATATTTGGAATTGTTGATTGAATGGCTTAGTATCCTTTCTTTGTCTATTAAAAGGTCTTTTATGGCACTACTGAATGAGTCACTCGCACCAAGAAATTGACTTTGTGTTGAGCTTATTATGAAATACAGAGCACCATTTGGTGGAGTAATCATGTGGTGTTTGAAAATCGATCCACGTAAATTCTCGTAATACCTCAGCCTTTCTTTTGCATCTTAATATTCGTCAGCTTCGTCTTCTTCCTTTTCTTTTTCTTGTTATAATAATATTTGACTCCAGTTTTTCAGAAGAGAATTCCATTGCGAATTGTTAACTAGATAGCGTTGAGGAAAAAAAAAATTAAAAGAAAATCAGATACTTTGAATTTTCACGCCCTTTACAAGCGTGTAGAAGTCTCCATCCCCCATTTACATTTTGGACTAAGACAGGCATTTTAATAGATTCTTTGAAGCTGTCTTGCATTTGTCCCATGGATTTCACATAGGATTGGAATATGTTTATTAACATAATTAGTTACATATACACCCACATATCAGCAGAAATGGAATGTAAAAAATGGCATTAAGCAATTGGTTGTAATGAAAATGCTTATGATTCACAAAAACCATTTTTGAATTATGACTCCTTTATCTTACAACAGAACTGACGAATTGGGCATCAAACTCTTTTTTCCTTTACAAGATTCCCTGAGATTAAGATTTAAGCCTCATTGATATAAAAAACAATTTGATTTTTTAGATTCTCGACTATTTTCAACAAATAGAATGTCAATGAATATTTCGAATTTAAATACTTGAAGAGTCGCCAGTGAAATTTCATATCGATCGCAAAACTTTATTTATGCTTCAAGTTAGTCGACGAATTAAACTTCATTTCATGTTGGTCACTATATTTGTTCCCAATAGTTTAACTAGCGAAAAATGTAATTCTGCAATATGGTTATTCGTTAACTAGGTTGTCAATGCGTTAGCTTTTAGTTGACGTTGACGGGCATTAACCATGGAAAATGTCCATGGCCAATTGTAACTAATGTTTAAATTCAATGATGAATTTAGAATAAAATGATAAATAATTGGTTAAAAAAAGTTTTAGGCAAAACTCTGTCTTTGAAAAGTAACAAAACTAGTGGGCGAAAATCCTTCGTGGAATAATTTTACACTTTAATTTGAAAAATAGAACTTGCATGCTGCTTACGAAACTTGGGTTAAAGAATTTTATTCCCGAAGTCTAATTTTAATTCATGGAAAAAAAAATATTATTTTTTCTAAATTGTACAGATGTAAGGAGTTCGTCCCCACTTGGTTTTGTTAGTTTTCGATAATGATACTGTAAATAATGACTAAAATTGAAAGTTCGACGCTAATTTCTTCAATAAGTTAAGTTCGGTAACCAAAATAGGATATATTGTGTTTTCGATGCTCACGTAAGTTTTTATCCCTTTGAATGATAATATAAAGTTTTCTGAAGTGGCTTATTGGTGTCAAATGGATAGAGCGTCCTAATCCGCATAAATGCCTGAGATAGGAGCATACCAAGAAGGTTGAATTGCACAAAAAAACCGTAAATCGAACCGAAACCGTTGATTCGGGTTCACTTGGACACGCGATTTTTATTCCCTCAAATCGAACCAAACTGTTTCAAAATGGTTTGGTTTAGGTTTCGATTTTCAAAAATCGTACAAAATCGAACCGAACTATTTTAAATTTTTTTTAATTCAAACATTAATTTTATTAATTTATAAATTTTACAATTTTCACTTCTCAAAAAAAAAAAAAACCAATTTAATGATACAAATTACTACCGACCAATTGAAATAATCATAGAAAGTAAATAAGGTTCATCATTATTGACTCATGGTTTAATAAGTTCACAACGCATATCCTCACCTGATATCTAAATTAAACTAAAATTATTCTCAAATCATATAAAATGTATAAAGAAAAAAAAAACACTTTCGACAATTCAAATTCTAATTCAACAAAACTACGACAGCAAATCACGTCCCAAGCTTTAGAAGCCGTAACATAAACTCTAATTTCTCAAACATTTGACGTTTGTCTACCACTGTTAAATGAATCGTTAGTCGCCTTTTGCCTATTAATCTACTAATTTCTATCTGAATCGCCTCTTTCTCTCCTCTTTCAGTAAGTCTCAAATTCTTATTTAAGCCAATTTTTCATTGTTACTTTTTTTTTTTGACTTATTATACAGTTATGAGTTGTGGTTTGGATAGAAAAATGACTTTTGTGTGCCTATGTGATTAATGAATTTGTTTGTGGTTTGGAAAGAACGAAGGACAGTGTATTGATTGTATGAAAATGTTAAAATTCCATAACTTGTATTACTAATTTCTACTTTCATAAAGTAGTTAGATGATGAAATTTGTCAATTCCTAATAAATCTAAACTCTATCAATCTTTATATATCTAAACTTATCATGTTCAATTCTTATTTAACATATCACTAGGAAGACCAAAGGAGTTTTAACCAAACTATAATATCAGAATGTGACTCTACTTTTACCAATTGCTATGTGACAATATGAAGATCAAAAAAGAAAAGGTAAATAAAAATGAAAAAAGAAATTTATTTATTCTATTAACATCTTTTAGTAACCAACTTTGAAAATATTTTATTCATGAGTTTCATGGTAAATATGAATGTAATTTAATATTATTAGTTTTCGTTTAGACTTATTTATTACCTTATTTTAAATATATTACCATAATGTCAATAGGTGAATCACGGATTAAAATCGAACCAAATTACAAATTATGGTTTGGTTTGATTTGGTTCGAAAAATAAAATGGTTTGATTTGGTTTGTAAAAAATTCAAACCACATAAAATGATTTGAATTGAAAATATAACACAAACTGTCCAAACCGAACCTTGATCATCCCTACAAGAAGGGTTATGATATGTGTTGCGTGTGTGAATAGATTAAACAATTTTGTTGCAATTTTGAAAAACAAAAATCTCCAAGTATAGATTTTAAATGGTTAATAAAGATATGGTAGTGATCAAAAGAGTGTAAAAAAGGGGATAACAGACATACAATGGTTCGAATTCGACCCTTTTTGTTTGAGAATGAAAGCTTGAAAAATAAATAAATAAATAAATAAAATTTAAAAAATCCCATGGATTCCATGTAGGATTGGAATATGTTGATTAATCACACGTGTAATGCTATGTAGCTCCACTAAGATTGTAATCTCAATTTAAGTGGCTCTAGATAATGGTCTAAATAAAATGTGAAATTAAATAAATCATTTAATTACATTTATCATTTAATGTCACATTTGCTCCACCTAGAATGTGATTGCAATCTCAACAGAACTAAGTATCATTACTCAACAAACACTCACACCACCACCAAATTTATGCATACACCATAAGAAGAAATGTGAAAAGGTGTTAAGCAATTGATTGTATTTGAAATGTTTATGATTCACAATAACCATTTATGTCTCTTCATAGTACAATAGAGCTAACAATCATGGAATCGAACTCTTTTTTCCTCTACAAGGTTCCCTATGATTGAGATTTATAGCTTCAAGGTACAAAAACATCGTGATTCTAAGATTCCCTACCAACTACAAAAGGATTCAAATCTTCCGAAAATTTACTTGGTCGCGAACTTTGTTTTGTGTCAAGTTGATCATCGATTTATTTTGAGTTGACCATAGTGACATAACAGATTGACTACAGAAAAATAAAAAATGTAACGACCAATTTAATTTCACATGGAACAAAAATTTTATGTTCAACGATCAATTTGAAATAAAATAAAATTTGAACGAAAGGTGAGAGACAAGAGAAGCATCATTCAATGGAATTCGATAGGTGCATCACTATTAGGAAAGTCAACTACTGCCGGCGGCGGTGGTTGTTGCATTACTGGCATGCCAAGGAAATTGCATAGTCGCCGGTAATTGATCGGGAAGCAAATCTTCGGCATCCGGACCGGTGAATTCCTCCAAACCAACAAAGAAATCATCATCCAATTCCATTTTTGAGACACTAAATTCATCATCTTCACCATCAACGTGGTCCTCTCTGTCCTCCCTGCTGCTCTCCACCTTCTCTAGCGCCGTCGAGGGGCTCTCCACCGGCGACACTGGCGTTGAGCAAGTGGGTTTGTCAGCTTCAGCACTTGGGGTGGTCGCCGGCTTCTGGCGGGTGCTTCCGGCGAGAGAATTCCGGTGAGTAGGCATAGGGTGGTTGTGCTCCGCCGTGTAAGTAACAATAAACATCCCCGGGTCGGATCTATTCCGCTCCACTTGTTTCCGGGCCATACACCCCTTTGAAGTGCTGCATTTATAATATCCTCTGTTTGATACACAAAAAGGTAATATAATCAGTACCTTAAATTCCCTCTAAACAGACCTTTTTAGCAAAAATATTAGCAACCCTTAAATTAATAGCCCTTAAATGAAATTGCAGTTGATAAGTACTTATTTTCTCAAAATCACTTTATTCAAGCCAAAAAATTCTTGTAAGTGAAAATCTAACTAGGTATAAGAAATCTTAAATGGGTTCTTGGCAATAGCCTTGCAGTTGGGAAGTACTTTTCTCAAAATCATTTTTTTCAAGCAAAATATTATTATAAGTGAAACGCTAACCTTGGATAGGGAGACCCTTTAATGGGTTTTTGCCCATATTTTCTCCAAGACCACATATCATTAGATAAGCTGTCTGCAGGTACATCACAAACCCGCTTCATATGATTCTTCCTGCAACAAAATTTCTCTAGAAACTCAATACACAGAACAGGATTCCTCATAAGTTGAAAGAAAAAGTTATCATTTTCAAATATACCTCCTTTTGGATCTTGGGCTTGGAGTATGTGAAGTACTGCTTTTGACTGCAACAAGAGATTGTTTAGGCTGAATTTGTGTTTGCTGTGGCAGATCTTGTAATCCTTCGAGAACAGAGAGTGGTGAAATCGTTGTACTTTGTGGAACAAAAGGTTTGTAGAGATCCTGTAAATCGTCGAAAAAGCTCTGTTTTCTTGGCTCAAACAGATCTTGAAAGGAAGAAAAGTTCACATCTTCTTGTGGTTTGAAGCTGCTGAAGAGCAGGGAGCCGCCGGAGGTGGTAGTTGTGACGGTGGAGGAGGTGGCAGAAGAGGTGGAGGTGTTGCAGCAGCCTCTCACCACCGCCTGAAGATCCCAATCATCATCCATTGCTAGCGTGGGGCGGTATTGGAAAAAGAGAAGAGACAAAACAAGGCGCTGACTTTTGGAGATAGAGAGTTAAATGAGAGAGAGAGAGAGATTTGAGGGGGTGTAAATGAAAGAAAAAAACATATATTTATAGAGAGAGAGTGAGCGAAAGAGTTAGAATTATCAAAGAGTTATTTTCACTAATAGTCATTGAAATTTGTGTAAATTTTCAAATTGGTCATTATAATATTTTTTTCTTGAGTGATGCTACTTAATTCCAATGAAACTTAGCATTATTGTACGTGACACTGAGCTCCACTACTATAATTAATTAAGCCCTCGTTTGATCCCAATTCTTTGGAGAAAATGAATTTTTCAACAGTATTTTGACATAATTTTAACTACATATCCTTTAATAAAATAATATTACACATAAATCCAAAATCTTTCATTATTTTTAACCACACATTTCACATTAATACACTATTCAAAAATTTATTTTTCCCAACAAAATGGGGCTCAAACAAGGGCTAAAATTATAATAACTTTTTATTTTAATAAATTGTAGGCAATTAACCTCATTGTAATATACATCGATTTTTATTACCATTGTGACTAGATAATACTATTCATGTTCCTCATATTATTAATTGCTTCAAAATTTGTTACTCGATTATTGAAACCAACATATAATTTGACATGGCCTCAATTAAGTCCCCGAAGATGTGTCATTTGGATTTCTTGGATAAAAAAATTCTCAAAATTGCTTTCAAAATGTTAGAACTTTCATATATGTAGTTATGCAGTTACTTCTACTTTGGGTTAGGGTTGGATAAAATGACAACTTGTTTTATGAATTTGATCCAAAATTTGGATTTCTATTATGAATTGTAATTAATGAAAGAATTGACAGCATTCAATTGACCTTAGCATTTGATGAATATCATTGAAATTTGACACAAGCCATCTGAAAAGTGCCCTAGCGAACTTGAAATATGATGTGCACTTAGATTGACCGTAATTATAGACAAAAGAATGTCATTTCATATCAATAAAAAAAAAAGAAAAAAGATATGGTTTAAATATGTCATTTTGTTGTGGTTCAAAATTGATAGGCTTTTTAAATCATATTATACATTAATGACAGTCTTCAAAATGTTTAATAACTTCAGTGACCAATAATGTTAGAAAAATACTTCAATTATCAATTTAAATTCTGCACAAACTTTAGTGACCATGGATGAAATTAACTCGATTATCAAGGAGAATTTAGAAAGAGAGAGAAAGAGGGTGATTGTCTAGAGAGAGAAAGTGATAGTTGGGTTGGAATTATCAAAATGGCTTTATCTCTCTATTGACAAAATTGCTTTAATTCAGTGGTTTGTAGGTTGACTTTTGAAAATGTCAAAGGTGTGTTTGGGGAGTAAGAAAAAGGAAGGCTAAAGGCTACTGCCGACAAAAGAAAAATGGAAAGAGAGAAACAGTCCACGCGCCAAGTTTAATGCACCCAATCTCCTGCGCGTGTTATCCCACCATTTTTTTTTCCATAAAGGTCCTGTTTGAACTCCATTATTTTAAAAAAATGCATTATTAACAGTGATTTAATATCATTTCAATCAAATATTTTTTAACAAAAAATATTACACGTAAATTTAAAAAAATTCTTATTTTTTAACCACACATTCTCCATCAATCACTATTCTAAAATACATTCTTAAAAAATAATGTGGCTCAAACATACACATATTTGGAAAAATTGTAACAAGGATCCCTAACCTTTTCATTTTTTTGTAGAATTTAATCTAACCTTCATTTTGTGCTAGCGGAGATTCTTAACTTTTCATAAATATGCACTTGAGGTTCATTTGGACGGAAATCGTCTAAAACACCGTCAGTTGACTTGAAAAATTAAGGAATTAACATCCAATAAAATTGTCCAAAATACTGTCCAAAAATATCGTCCTAAAAGGTATTAACATCCAATAAAATCGTGTACAATTGTGTTTGATTTGTTAAACTAAACGAATTGTAGGCGAACAATTTGCGATGAGTATTTTCTTTTGGTTTTCAATCCAGCTGAAGGAAAAACTTGAACAGCAAAAATTGAAGTTGATGTGTCGTATAATTGTGTTTGATATGTCAATTGAATGAATTGTAGAAGAACAAGTTGCGAAGACCAGAGAATATTTCTTTTGGTTTTTATTCTAGTCTAGGTTGATCCAAAAATCGTGGAGAACCTGTATTTTTTTATTTTTTGAGGTTAACCCCATGATTATATAATGTGTTGTTGCTGTTATTAATTTCATTACTAATGACGTTGTCTTCAATAGTGGCTGAGAGAAGAGCGTCGATGGTCATTGAAGATATTGTCATTAGTAATTTCATTCGAATCACTAACATATGGTTTTGTAAAAATATTCGACAGTGACATCGTCGATGATTATCAATGGAATTTTCGTTAGTTATTATTTGCTCCAATAATAGTAGAATGCACGATTTGTCGATTTATGTATTATTTACATGTTTGGTTCAAAAATAATAATAATAATAATATTGAAAGCAAAAAAGTCTTAAAATCAATAACTATGGTACTATCAAAAAATTCAGATGAATGCACACTTTCAAAATGATGATAGTTAAAAAGATTTCATGAGCAAATACATATATTCAAAAGGCTGAGGTTTTTTCATAAAGAAAGTGGAATGCATTTTAGTGGTCGTGCGTGTTGGTGACAACATTGTTTCGTGAGCATAATGTCACCATGCCACACTTGAAAATTAAGGTTAATATCTAATAATGATTCGAACTTTACCCGTGTTTCAATTTAGTCACAATACTTTTAATTATTCTATCGATTCCTTGGCTTTGTTCTTGATTTTTCATCCCTTGTTGTCACGATGATTTAACGTAAAGTTAAATATATTCACACCACAATTTTTAATAATTAGACAATATTTTAATTGCATAAAGATTCTCAAACTCTACACGTTATCACTTTTATGTCTCAAACTTTTTTTTCATCGCATTCTTATTCTCAAATTAATATAAATTGTGTATGATTATGATTTCTCTTCAAAATTTCCTGTAAGATAAGAGTAAAAATACCTATTTGTTCATTGTATTTTTAAATAAGCAAAACAAGGAATACTGTAAAAAATACAATTAAATATTTGATCACATTTTAAAGTACGTTAACAATATTTTTGGACAAAAACCATGATTAAGAATAATAATTTCTATCGATGAAATGTTAAAAAATAAGAATACGATGAAAAAAGTTATTTATATAAGTATGATGATGAATAGATGTTAAAAACATTTAGTGTAATTAAAATATGATGTATTAATTAAAAAAAATCATATTGTGAATGTAACCACCCTTAACATAATTATTGGCCTAGTGAACTAATGCACATTTAAATGTATTTGTGGGTCTATTCTAGAAAAATATTTAAAAGGAAATGTCAATGAGTTATATGCGCACAAACTTATAGTCTAGATTTATTTATTTTTTTGAAAAAGAAAACAAAAAACCACAAAATGAAAAATGTGTTGGATCACATAGATCAGCAAAACACTGTACAATCGAAAGTCGTTATTAATCATGCTCGCCTTGTTTATAGATAAACTGATTCAAAATACATGGAATAAGACTGTCATATACTCCCTAGTATTCGAAATTTCAACTCGATCTAATTGACCCAATTTTCATGTATATCAATTTAATCATGGAATTACTTATTTACTCGATCATGAAAGAGAAATCATACTTGTTGATAATAAGATGTTCCATTCGTTACCAATATTCCGTAATAAGTGTGATGATCAAATTAGAATGCGTGGTAATGTACTAATGTATCGGGACCATTCGAGTTTATAACCCTCAGAATAAACCACCCGTGGATCCTCGTGACCTACACGTGCAAAGGGAGTGTGCCTTTACAGTTCACAATTGAGCGAATTCATCTGTTTTGTTTGACTATTTCCAAGTTTTCTCCAACGAAAAAAATAAAAAACTCAAGAGAGTGGAACTCAAGAGAGTGGACTTCAAACAAGGGTAGGTCGCGTAGAGTTCAATTGTCAATGAGGTTGACTATTGAATGGTATTCACACGAGGGGTTGGCGCGTGAGACTACGTTAAAGTTATGTCCGACAGCTTGCAGATGTCGTGGGGCCTATGCTTTTGGGGAAACACCGACTCGTGCACTGTGGCCTTTACTGCCAATTCTTTTGTTGCGGCGTATCGGGTCCGGAGAATCCAACGGTTCACAAGGATATTTTGTGACTCATTGATCAATCAAACGTTTTCACATTTTGTGATCGACGTGTATTGTTTGGTAGATGATTATGAATTACTCTATACGTACAAAACACCCCTCACAGAACATTTACAGGAATTCAAAAAAATAACGTGGCAGAGGAACAAAACACATAAATAAATGAAAATGGAGAATGACCTAATAAAGCTGTGAATTTCTAATTTCATTCACCATTTTCCCAAAATATAGATATTGAAGCCCCGTCACCAAGCTTTCTCCATCTCCGGCCAACATCCGGCTAACTAACCAGCGCGCACCTCCGGCTAGGGGTGTCAATGGGTCAACCTGAGCCGGCTCGGCCCGTGAAAGCACAAGCCCGAGCCGAGCTCACGGCTCGCAAGCACACGTCGTTTTTTTTTTGAAACAAATAGGTAAATTAGAAAATAAAAAAGTAATTTTAATTTTTAAATTGTGAATTTTTTATATAAAAAATTTTTAAATATAAAAAATTAGGTAAAAATTTTAAATCCTCCTCCTTTATCCAGGCTTGAGACTTTATCCAGGCTTGAGACTAGCTACTTAAATTTAGAGTAGGCGGAGTTAAAAATTGTATTGTTTGTTTGTTTGTTCGTTCGTGTACAATTTTTTAAAGAAAATTCAAAACAGTATTGAAAATTATTTTTTCAAGCAACGCTGCGCATCCCGTTGCATATAATTTTCGAAGTAAATCCTTTCTAAAAATTGAAAGGGTAATCGAATGCCCTTTCAATTGTCAGAAGTCTTCACTTCGAAAATTATATAAAAGTTTTTCATTTCGAAGATTATATATAATTTTCGAAGTGAAAGACTCCTGACAATTGAAAGGGCAATTATTCGATT